CTTCGCCTCTATAAGAAATAAAAATATTCCCAACAATGTATTCTCATCTAGAATGGATTGTAGTTTTTAATTTGCAGGGACTTGTTTTATCTACACCCCTAACGGAAATCGAACTTGACTAGTGCAGCGTATGAATTCGACATTTTCCAGTTGACAGTGCAGATGAGACCAAATCAGGCAAGGTAGAAACTGCAGTTCAGTCCAGCCAGAATGAAAGTACCTTTGGGCAGGCAACGCTAAGTGAAATTAAATGTCATCTACTGATAGTCTCGAAACCATACTGAAAATGAGTAAATATCCCTTTTTGCTGCTGCTATTCAAATGAAGTCCTGTAGACGCTGACATAATGACATGGTTGTTTCGGTTTCGACACTCGGTTAACGCGATTCTCCTTACGTGGTGGTCCAGCCGGCGTTACCACGAGGCAGATTCGAGGCGTGAAGACTCAACATATGCAGAAGTGGCACACGTCAGCTCGAGTAAGAGGGCATTTTGGCCTGTCTAGTTCGTTTGAGGCTATGTTGCAATATGAGGGCCAGATAAAAGCTCACCACAGTTTTACAAAGGTCGTGGTACTGTTAACTGAAGGCGTATTCGTGCAAATCTCCAATCTCAACTCTTTCGGTTTCTGGTGAAACTAATTTACGAATACCTTCCATCCACCGTTTCAAGTGAAATGAATAATTAAGGTTTTTTCAAATCTGTGTTGACTCAACATTATTTCACAATTGTACTCTTCATTTAAAAAAAAAGGCACTAAGGCGAATTCAAGTCATCTCGTTCCAACTAGCCCATGCAATTATTTGAATTCCTTGTTAAGAGACAAGTATGGAGGGTATTTGAGTCTATATAGAGTGAAAACGGGTTTCAAAAAATATTTTACTAGATTACTGCTGGCCTTCTTTTCATTTCGCCTCAAAATTCGGTGGAAGAGTTTTATAAACAGGCCTCCCTAGAACACTAAAGAGGATTCCCGTGACTGGGATTTTTTACTTTTATATTATTCAAGAAGTCCTTAGCTCATAGTACTGGCACCGGCAAAACAATGGACCAAGAAGGTCTCTGCTTTCCAACTTTTGTCTTCTCGTGGAATTTCTTGGGAGCTTAAAAGGGTTATTTAATGTTAACTATGTAGTTTATATATTTTTGGATGCCGACAGTTCCGAAAGGAAGCCATTGTATTTAAGAGCGTGGTATTGAAATAACTCGCCTCGGAATCCATCCTTTTTTTTATTTAGCGGCAATATTACGACCAACTCTGATAAAAAGTACTTTATTGCTCTTAGATACCAAATACAAATGATAACGAGACGGCGACGAGAAAGGACACAATGTAAAATAGCTTATTTTAGCCCTACGTATCAAAAAGTGGACTTCGATCTCAGAGGAAGCCACATGATTCAGGCATTTACGGTTAAATCTATAATCTTGACTTCTTCGATATAATAGGAATTTTCAACGACGAAGAATTCTTTTAAAAGTTTTCATAAATACAACTTAACTCACCGGATAAAGTATGTCACTTATTCAAATAGCAAAAACTACCCAGCTGCACGATTTTCCCGATTTTCATCACTACCTTTTGTTAGTTAATAATATAAGCTAGAACATTCTCTTTCACCAAAAAGCTGATTTGATATTCGTTTGGGTTGGAATTTTCTTAAGTCTTTCCACCTCCTTTGTTGCGCATATTTTCCTTTAGTTTGTGGAAACTCCACGGGATCTAGAGAATTCAGTGCTTGTCTTTTGCAGCTTCGTTCTTCTTGCACACAACTATTCTTTGTTTCGTTTCACTTCTGTTTAGTTCGCAGAGGACATCTTCTTTTGCTCTAGAAAACACTTCGCTTCAGGCGCAATAAAACTCGAAGACAAGTAGATGAGTGGTCTCTGTGGTCTTTCCATTAATTACTTTTCATATTCAGAACCCTACTACCAGCATGATTGGAATTCTGTAGGATAATTGTAGAGAGGTATGAAAAATTATGAAGTTTGAGCTATTAGAATATACTTTACTCTACATATGCGTATGTCCTCCAATTACATTTACTTGAAGAATCCACATGCTCTTGAATATTATTACACGGTAAATGGCAGACATCCTTATCTAAAACGTGTATACTAATCAAGCTAGGCGAAATTCTATTTTTAAAGAAACCTCAATATAGTAATGAGAGGAGGGTCTATTAGCTAGTTTTGCACCCAGCCTATCTTTTACATCTACACTTGATTTAATGATTAAGCAGAGATCAGTTCGTCCTACCACACCAGGCTTCACATAATGCTTTATTGGAAGACTAATATTCGGATACAACGTCATGCTACATGGGAAGAAAAGTTTCCCCCTTTCTCTTTCCGCCTCCAGCCAAACTTCAAGTGCGCTATAGAAGTGGGTTGACCTCGTTGTCGTAACTTGGTCTTGTTGTCAGGGCGACTTGGTAGAGCACACCTAGTCCGAAGTCGTCGGCCATAGTAGTTATCATGATTCCCAGCATCAGACAATGGACTTGGTACATTCATAAACGTTTCGCAGGCATCATCAGTGAGTGTTGTCATTCTCTGCACCAAGCTACGAACTCGTCAAAGAGACAAGTGAAGGCAATCCCTCGATAAACGTTCTACCGAAAACGGTTACACTGTTATTCCTCTTTCTGTCCTGGCCTATCTATATACTCGTCTACCTCCTATACAACTCCCACCCTATCATAACTTCTCACTTTTCCACATTCCACGCGTCAAAATGTGTGAACTTTTGTGGCAAATCTAGTGAGGTCTCATCACACCTGCTATTCACCCCGACCTGCGACCATACCAGAGGCCACACCATCTTGGTATTCATACCTTCAAGCGCGCCTTTTTTTAGTATCAATCACACATTCCGTTTTCCTTGCAAGCACATCGTTGACCCTCATCTCCATCCCTATCCACCTGCCTCCCCCGCCCTCTACCGACTGGCAGGCTTATGACATACGACACGATCTGATCGAGACTCCGAAGCGAATAGAGTTTGTCCGTCAACAGGAGGCCCGACTTTATGCTCGCCTCCAGAACCAGTTGTTGCAACAACGTGACGCTATTCTGTCCGCCATTGGCGAAACCATCCATCAACTGCGCGAAGATCTGCCTACTCACATTGTGGCTCAGGTCCATCTCACTTCTCCTCTGACTTCTTTTAATTCTGAAGAACTGCCTTTGACCACCATCAAAGTTGACGCTAGCCCAGATGGCCTCGTCGCCTGTGAATCAGCTTCTGTCACCACCGACACTGTCGATCACAGACCACTTCCGCTAACTCCAGTACCCCTCATGTTTTTTCTACAAGGCTTACTTCCGACCCCACAGCAACAGATACAAACATGGTCGGTGACGGAAGCAGGGCTTCAGACCTCTGGCCCTGAAGGTCGTTGGGCAACGAAAGCTCTAAACAAGGTTACACCTACAGACACACTGAGTGATCATTCAGGACAGGGGCAGAATCAGACGCCGGACAAGTCACCCGACCATGGAACTGTATCACCAGTGCTCTATATAGGTTGGTTCGAAACGTATTCTTTTTAATGAAGAAAGTCTTTGTCCTATGTCAACAAATTTATGCTCTATTTAATTTTAATGGAATGTTCCTAAACTAAGTGAAAGGGCCACTTGCCTAGCTTGGCTTAAGTAGTTTATGTTCAAACTCAGGGGCGTTCATACATTAATCCACAGGTTTAAGATCAATTTTTAAGGGGAATAGTGCTGAAGTTGTCTAGATTCTGAATTCTTGGTCCGAAAATATGCGATATCAACCTTGATGTCTCTGACCTGATTACTTGACATTGATGTCTCAAACTTGATGACTTAGACATATTGAATGATATCTTCAAGTTCGCTGTTTTTCAGTATCAATCACATATTTATTCCATTTTCCTTGCAAGCACATCGTTAACCCTCATCTCCATCCTCATCCACCTGCCTCCCCCGCCCTCTACCGACTGCCAGGCCTATCACATACGACACGACACCTAGACTCCTCAACCTAATCACGATGTAAATAGTAGAATTGTGAGGAGAAAAGAGAAGATGGAGTATGAGAGTTAAGAAGAATGATAAAGATACATGAGTGAAGAGAGAAGAGCAGCTGTGGGGGAGAGATAAAAGGAGAAAGGGAAACGACTACAAAAGAGAAGAAGACAAATGACAAAGGAGAGGGGAGAGAGGAAGAGAGGCGGAAACAGATAAGGGCAGAAAGAATATGAAGCCAATTTGATCTCATCGAATTTAATCTGCCATTTATACCTGCGCCCTTGCATTATCGTGGAAAAGAGTGAAACGACTTTTTTTAGATTAAATGCTATATTTTAATTAGACTAAGCACCCAACAATATTTTGTGACCCTTATAAGGTAATGGATTTCCAAAATGTTATCCATAAGATGGACTACCATTTGATTTCTTAGTCATTATGTTCTACTCTGGCTGGGCTTCAGATTTAATAGAGGAATCTATGATTTCAAGATTGGTTTCATCGAGCACCGGTTAATCAGCCTGAATCCGATTCCAAGACCGATAATGAAAAAGCTGTCTAAGGTGCATTCGCTTATGAATGCAATGCTTGCTACACACTTAAAACAAATGGTTTCACACCTTTATTTTATCACATCTACAATGCATTGCTGGCGATTGAGAATTAGCAGTTGATGCAGAAGGAAATAGGGAAAAGGCTAGAAAAAGGGACCCACAACCATTAATTCCCAGGTGATCCTGGTACACGGATCAGATTGTGGAAGTGGTGAGAAATTAACTAACCATGTACAACTCCCGAAATGAGCTTGGCAACAAACGCCTTGACTACGACGGATACGTTCGCCCTGACGACATCATTACGATGTTTTGAAAATGGAGTCAGACCAGTACCAACAATTGAAGTGTAATTTAAGCACCTTATATGAGTTTTTTTAATGCCGTGTGCGTAAATAACCCTTTTTTTTATTACCAAAACCCAACTTTTGGTGACGGTAAATTACACGTGACACGTATCTCCAATGGCTGCCACGCCATCCAAACTTACCCCGGCAAACTTTTGATGGTTGTCTGAAGGCAACTGGCGTCAGCGTAAAATGGATTTTTTCCTGAACCACTTTGAATAGGCTAAATCCATGGAAATTAATTTAATGATTAAATGATGTATTTCCATGTACATCTGTTGTTTCGGCACAACGACAAGGAGCTGTTAAACATGGCTGCAAGGAGTACCATAAAGACGAGAAAATTGCACTACTCATATCATATTCCTCACGTCATAGGCCTCCATATAATACGAATACTTCAAAGACTCTTTTTTTTCATCACCTGCCATTGGCAATTATCATATCTGTTTAAGCCATTTTCGCTTTAGAGTTCGTCCTAATCCCAACGAAGCTGGGAGGAACAAGGTAATCTCACAATTTATATGTACGCCCTTCTTTTACTAAGTAAAGTTAGAACTTGCTTAATCACTTATTTTTTATTTTTTTGGCCCGCTTTCATTTAGAGTGAAAGTGCGCAATGAAGAGACTTGAAAGCCCATCTTACCAGAAGCCGATGGTGGATCCCTCTTGGCCAACTTTCGTTTAGCTCTCATGTAGCATTCTGGTTGGCGTTGTATTCGAGAAAATCTACAATTCTGATGAAAACGTGCTAAGCCCCTGTCTATTTTATGACGAACACCATTGGATCAAGATAGAGGATCGTATTGGCAAATTAAAACCACATTTAGTTCCTTTCTCGCAAATGCTTTTTGAAGGTCTATATTACAAATTACTACTTTTATTTTAAACAGTTTGCCTGACTAGACTTTTATGCCCATACGCAGGACCCCTATACATTGTTGCTCTCAAAGGGTTTTTTCACCTACTTTAGTAATTTTTTGTGGCCTTTTCAATAAATGCATGCACTAAATTTTCATTTTGAATATGGGCCATATGAAGTAAGGTTGAGAAAAAGGGATACAGCACTAGAAGCTATGGCGAAGTCGGAAGGAGAGATTGTATAATGGTTAAACAGAAAATTGCTCAAGGGGACTGCCTTCACTTGTCACTTTGATAAGTTGTAACTATGTTGTTATGATGGTGCACCTCACTGACGATTCCGGCGAAAGGTATGGGCATGTACCAGGTCAACGTTGATCATGAATACTAGGACAGAGAACGAAGGACCAATTTGCGAAAGCGAGATGAAACAACACTATGCAGCTAAAGGGGACTGCGACCAAATCGAAGACTCCATCATCTTGGTCTTT